GGCTTTATTCTCACGACATGTAGTCCCCTCCCCCCAACCAATAAACACGGTTCGCACACGTCTCTCACTCGCACACTCCCCCCCTCCCCCACTCGCAACACACACTCCCCCCCTCCCCCACTCGCAACACACACTCCCCCCCTCTCCCACTCGCAACACACACTCCCCCCCTCCCCCACTCGCAACACACACTCCCCCCCTCCCCCACTCGCAACACACACTCCCCCCCGCCTCACCCGCCCCCACCCGCCCCCCCACCCCCACAGGGACCGGACCATCCGCATGTGGAATCTGGCCAAGGGCCGGTGCACGTACACCGCCCCCTTGGCGGCCGAGGCGGAGTACGTGGGGTTCCTTCCCGCGCCGGGGGGGAGCAGTAGCAGTGGTGGCAGCGGCAGTAGCAGCTGCCCGGGGGGGGCTCAGGGGGGGGACTCGTACGTCCTCATAAGCGGCAGCAAGATAACAGTGCACAGTGCCGCTGGTGAGGGGGCCCTGCTGGCGTCGTACACCGCCCCGCGCCGTATTTTGTGTACGGCATGTTGCCACCCCGACCTGGTGTTGCTGGGGATGGAGGACGGCAGTGTACGACTGTGGGACGTACGAACAAGTGGAGTGGTGGGCGGCTGGGAGCGAGCTCATGCCAGCCGTGTGCGGGGTATGGCACTGCTGCGGCGGGGGGATGGTGAGCAGGGCGAGTGGGGGGGAGGGTGTGGGAAGGGGGAATTCAGGTCATTCAGCCAACGTCAGGTAAATGATTAGAACAACCGTCAACTGATTTCCATGGGGGCCCGCCAACGGCCTCCAGCAAGACTTCAAAGTGTCACTCCCCGGGGGGGGGGAGGGGGCGCAACGGCCCGAAGGATACCTTTGGGGAGGGGAGGGGAGGGCTGGAAGGGCGGGTAGAGAGTGAAGTGGGGGGGGACTTGCCGGGGGGTCTTGTTCTGTGTGTGTGTGTGTCTGTGTGTGTGTGTGTGTGTCTCTGTGTGTGTGTGTGTGTGTGTGTGTGTCTCTGTGTGTCCCCCTGACCAGCCCCATGCTGCATACCGGTGCCAGTTGGGATCAGCGCCAACAGGTGACTGTTGCCAATCTGTTGTATCTAACTGCCATTTAACCAACCAACCAACCGCAGGCTCAGACAAGCTGCCCGCCTCCCTCGCCACCGCGTCCAGTGACGGCACCATAAAGCTGTGGGACATAAGGAAGCTGTCAGGAGGAGGGGGGGATGGCGCGGCGGC